TCTATGGTATCTTTTCTTTTCTGTAAGGTTTACAAAACGTTACTAATACATGCATAGGGTACTACATGAGATTTATCGGGCTTATTAATATCCTAGCTCTCATAATTTTCACTGTGTCATATGCGTTTTTTATCACTTTTCCCCAATACTGGTTACAATTATGGACAGAGAGGAAGTATAATCGAAGCGACGCGTTCTATATTATTGGCTTTCTTTTTCTATCGCTCCTGTCGTGGCTCTCCACTAGCGGTCAGATGTGGTAAGTAATATCCCGTCGAGCTCTATAGCTACTCCGTGTCATTAACCGCTCAAAGGTCTAACTTTACCCGACTTGCCCCCCAATCTGGCATGAGGCTCCATCGCCATCTTTTAAACATTGTGACGAAGTAAGAGTTGACCCGCCTACCCCCCTCCCCTCTAGTGTGTGCTACATGTGATGACTAAATCTGCGAAGCGCCCCTTTATCCTTTTTTTCAGCGACCGAAAATGGTTCAATCTTGAACAGGTAAGCTTCGGTAAGAGCTGTGCAGCCCTTTTTTAACTAATAATATCCAGGTTTACCCAAGACATCCAGCTTATCGACAAGCAGTTGCCATCGGCGTTTACCACACTTGTAACTCGTAAGTTTAAGGTTTTCTCATCTTTAAAGCGCTGTAACCTAATGCAACAGCCAGAGATTTTCAAGCTCTTGATGCAAGTGGTACTTTTGTGCATCGCGGAAAAATGGCTCGCGCTGTCTTTGCCAGCTTGCATAACTGTCGTTTACGTCATCCAGAAAGTCTATCTCCGAACGTCTAGACAGCTGCGGTTCTTAGAGCTCGAGGCTCGCGCAGGAGTGTTCTCTAGCTTCTTAGAGTCTGTGAGTAAGAACTTGCCGGATACAGCGCTTAGCTAACATTATCTCAGATCGAGGGTCTCGAAACAATACGAACATTTGGCTGGTCCGGAGACGTGACAAGAGAGAACATCGTTAAGGTCAACGACTCATCAAGACCAGAATTCCTCCTTTTGTGTCTTCAAAGATGGCTCAATATTGTTCTTGACCTCCTAGCCGCAGCTATAGCGACAACAGTTGTTGTAATAGCTGTAAGTTTCAAAGGGCACATTAGCGGTGCACAAATCGGAGTTGCACTTAATACTATGCTTGTAGCAAATACCACCCTCCTAAGATTGGTTGAGAATTGGGCTCTACTAGAAACATCTCTTGGTGCGATTGCCAGGCTGAAAACTTTAGAAAACATGACTCCGTTTGAGGGTGGAAGGGTGTTAGGCTTAGATCCTGCACTAGACTGGCCCCAGAGAGGGCATATTCAGTTGAAACATGCTACGGCATCGTACCAGTACGTAATCCCGGGGACGATATATCTCTGATTTCACACCTAATGGCATAATACATAGATCGGAAAATGTAGCTCTCAAGGCTCTGAATTTGGATATCCCAGCAGGGCAGAAGCTTGTTGTTTGTGGGCGTACTGGCAGGCAAGGTCCCCGAGAACGACAAAGAATTACAGAGTCTGATTAAGTGTTCTAGTGGCAAAAGTACCCTACTACTGACGCTGTTGCGAATTCTTGAATTAAAATCCGGCAAGATTGAGATTGATAGCATCGATATCAAGCAAGTCTCTCTGGAAGTACTGAGACAACGATGTTTTATCACTGTCTCCCAAGATCCTCTACTTCTGCTCCATGAGACGGTCCGCTTCAACCTGGACCCAGGCGCGTCGATTTCAAACGACATAATTATGGAGACATTACGAAAAACTGAATTATTGTCACACTTCTCAAGAGGACACACGACAGACCCTATTGAAGGTACAAATCCTATTGAGCAGGCAGACACTTTCGACAAGTTCGAAGGCCCGGGCGGCGAGAATCCGATCCTTGATCAGAAGATGTTACTATTTTCCGAGCTATCAGTGGGACAATGCCAACTGTTCGCGCTGTGCCGTGCGTTGGTGAAGGCTAGTTTTCTGGGACGATATGGAATCAAACCTATAGTTCTCCTAGACGAAGCCACGTCGTCCCTGGATTCGGCCACAGAGTCAACCATCTATCGTATTATCGATGAGGAGTTCAGTAGAAAAGGCCATACAGTTATTATCGTGGCACATAGACTTGGCGTTCTAGAGAATCATATGAAGACTGGGCGAGACGCTGTGGCAGTGATGGGAGATGGCAAATTACAAGACGTTAGTCTTAACTGGGAACGAGCGACTTTGACATAGTATTGAGAACACGATAATAGAGGGAGAGAGGTTCACGTAGGAAATAAAGTATCAGGTAAGGAACCTACAACCAAAACAGAAATATTTCTTCAGTTCGACCGTATCATAGTGTATTAATTCGAATTAGCACTGAATCACCAATCGAAGGGGTGACCATGGTGCAGTAACCCCTCCCGACGCTGCCAGCACAATCTGACCTTTTCCAACCTTTACAAGCTAAGCGTTTACATAGGCGGGGGAACAGCTTCAAGGCTACGTCGGTAATATTCGGCGACGTCGTGAGCTCCGGATCCTTCTCCTCATATTCGTCCAGCAACCCATTCATCTAGTTGATAGACGGCGCGGGGGGGCCTAAGAAAAGTCGCTACCGAACAATACATGACTAGGCTTCGCCAACTAGCTCAACAATCGTAGCTGGGGCCGGGTGGCGGACAGCGCAGTGTCGAAGTAGAAGCTCTGCGCGAGCTTGGAGCTGGTCATATGCTGGTATACGGATGGTAACTCGGTGGGAATGTAGGGCAACGCGGCGGCTGGGCGCAGGGCGAGATAAGGCAAAGTGCCTCCAGCATGAGAGAGGATGGTCTTGACCCTGGGGTATGATTGCACGGTGCTGGAGGCAATGAGGTCGCAGGCCGCGCGGGTATCAGATGTGAGTCTAGGTGTAAGCATCATCGATGCTCCAGCTGGATGGTCTTCGGTATTACGACCCTAACAATAACTTTTCAAGAAAACTTTTCGCCAGTCTTGATGCCTAAGCCAGACAATCCCCACAAGCCCTGGATTAAGGGAGACATCGTAATCCGAGCGAACTATACGATGAATACCGAGGAAGTATATACTACCTTTGCTAGGTAGGTAACGGAATAATTGGGGTGTTTAATAGAGGTAAGGAGGGCTCGGTCTAGCTGGTGTAGCTTTGTTTGGCCACATTCTATGCACGGACCTAACCACCGAAACCTGTCCTAAGTATAGTTCATTATTCATCCTGACTTAGCTCATGTCCTCATCCACAGTCACTAAATCTTGACTCCCAACGCCTTGTAGATTGCACCTATGTACGCCTTAGCAGCCGTATTTCCAATGAGGGTGGGCGATCTCTTGTTCATGGCGTAGGTAATTGTAACTTTGCGACCGACATCCATTATGCCGAGGGAGCCACCCGAGCCACCCCAATAAGCGATATCGCCCGCGGGCATCCAATCGTCGACCCAGTCTCCGTCGCCTTTAATGGCATATCCGATGCCGAAACGGATAGGCACACCAATAGCAAGATCCGTTCCCTGGGATTGCTCCTCGAAGATCAAGTCGACCGTCGATTTGGACAGCAATTTCTTGTGCTCGGAGGTGCCCTCGTGGCCCGCGAGCGTGACAGTGGAAAGTATTTTATTCATTGCGTGAGCGTTGCTATATCCGTTGGAAGCGCCGATCTCGCCTTGCCTCCACGCAGGCCGCTTGCCCACGTTGGGCGGCATCATGGGGTTCGCGATGGCCTTTATAAAGAGGGGGCCGGGCTTAAAATCTGGAGCAGGCCCCGACGAGACTGGCGTTGTGAGATGGGCAACACGAGGGGCGTCTTTTTCCAAGATGCCGAGTTGGAAATCGGCGCCCAAGGGCGCGGCGATCTTCTCGGCGATCAACTGCTTCAGACTCATTCCCGTCACACGACGTACGATTTCGCTCAACATATGACCGAAGTTCCAGGCATGGTAGGCCGATGCTGTCCCGGGCTCCCACCACGGTGCCTGAGAGGCTAGCTTTGCCGTGGAGGCGATGGGATCACAGATCTCATCCATGGTGACCTTGTCATCCCAGCCAGCGACGCCGGAAGTATGTGACAGCAGATGACGAATCTCGATATTCTCTTTCCCGTTAGCGGCGAATTCAGGCCAATACTTGGAAACTTTGTCGTGGACAGAGATAGCGCCGCTATCGACGAGCATGAGGACGGCGAGACTACTGACTATCTTTGAACTCGAGGCTACGCCAACGATAGTGTCTTCTGCCCAAGGCTGCTTGGTTTCCAGATCCATGTACCCGCCCCAGATATTCACGACATCCTCGCCATTAACATTCACGGCTATACAGGCCCCGACCTCTTCCCCTGAGTCAATGTACTGTTGGAGGAGAGAACGAACCTTGTCGAACTGTGGAGTGCACTTCCCGTGCACTTCAGCCATGCCCGAAAGTGGGATAATAGAAGAATCGACCAGTGTATTGTAACGTAGAACCCGACCCAGTTGCAACTTAAGGCGTGAGATCTAAAAATGAGAGTGTAGAAAGCGATTGGGAATAGTGAAAAGGTGAGGAAATAATCATATATATATTTTTTTATATACTACAGGACTCATCATCAGATAACTAGATGCTTATTATTAGTGTAAGCCTCACTACCTCTACCAGGCTGAGCTAAAACCATAGGGACCGCGGGAGCTAGACCTAACTGGTATAATAAAAATCGGCAGAGGGGGCAACTTGGCTGGGCCAAGAAAGGCATTTCCCGTCTCCTCTCCCGCCGTCTCTTCGCGATGGATCACCTCCGGGCTATAAGCGGGGCTGTAACCCGGCACATGAGTCATGCCGGGCGCACTAGTACTAATTTTGCTGGCCGATTTGATCCTCTTATGTAGAAGGGCATTATTAGTAAATGCTTTAGCAAGTAAAAAGGAGGCAAAATAACCGCCCGAATAATCACGAATGGTTTTGGAGCGCTCAGCCAGCATGCCACCTGCCACACCGCTTCAAACTCGAGATATGATAGCCTCCACGGTGCAAAAATGTTCCTGCCCGGGATCGAACCGGGGATCTTCTGTGATCGAAGCCGAGACTTTGTAAGACAGATGCCATAACCACTAGGCCACAGAAACTCGTTGGTAGAAATTTTGCGAATAATTCCCTATTATGTAACAATGTTTTATTGAGCCATAGGGATAGATTGAAGTTATCGAAAAGATAGGTCGGCATTGTGGCTCTTGTGGAGGGTCATAGTATACACACATCTGTTACAGTTGCTTACACACTCCAAAAAAAATGTGAGTGTATAGTTTATTAGTGCTAGGTGTTCTTGTGGTGAGCATTTTATTAATGTTTTCACAATAACAATTCGACCAAGGTGTTAGTTGGACATGGTGTAGTGAGACAATGTGAATCCGTTATTAAGGTACTTTAGAGGGAGAAAGAAGAAGAGAAGAAGAGATAAAAGAAGGTGTGGGAACTCACGGAGTACCTATCTTTCTTGCCACGACATAGGCATCATTTCTACCGAATACACGTGTGGTTCGCATGCCTCGTGCCAGCTTGAAGAACGTACGGTAAGTTATCCATTGCTGCTTGGATGACAGGTAGGTGCCTACCGAATTGACAACGAAATCCGCGCGAGGATGCTGGATAAGTGGAAAGAGATGGAGGGGGTTTGAATAAGAAAGATCCATCTATCTAATCATGGATCTATTGCATATACAGCTGTCCCGAAGGCCGTGGTGGCAGGGCTGTTAGTTCCTCATTATCTACTATTGAAACTACTGTCAAATACATCACAGCCTTATTGATTCCATAGCCTGGGATACAATCAGAGATAGTGGAGAATATAATAGTTTTTTCCAATCGTTGTTGCTCTCCTACCAGATTTCTCCCATTCGAAACTCAGTTGATTTGCTATGGTAGTTGTATAAGTACATATATAGGATCTTGTCCATCACTGCAAGATGCGGCATAAAGCAGCATTTCAGGTGGTTACCTACTTAGGTAGCATGTCACATGTGTGCTCATCTGTGCTCATATGTGCGAGCATAAGTACTATCGTAGGTACCTACCCTAACAGGGACCTAACATTACAGGGACTTACACGATGTCCCAGTCTGTCTCGACGAGAATCTGACTCACCCCAATGCCTGCTTCTGTGGCTGGTACCTTCCATACATGTAGTGCCGTCCCGCAAAGGTGCGCCTTCTACTTTGTTTCCTTATCAGGTAGCCAATCCTCTTTGCCGCTTACAATACCAGCACCAGCAAGTCAATCTTATTTTTCTTTTTCCCTCTATCCTGCACGTCTTATCCGATTAACCTTCTTGCCATCTTGACTTCCCCTCACCTACACCCTGCCTTTGCTGGCACCACAGACCTGGGACCTTGCCTTGTGTACAGACCGCACCCTTTCTTCCCCGAAAGTTCGAGCCAACAAGTAGCGGCCATGGCGACGACTTCCACTCTACACGAAGCGGACCTTGAATTCCGCAATGAAGTTATCAGTAAACTCCTCGATTCCGTGGACTGCGCCAAACATATGAAGGACTCATTTGGACAATTCCTTGGCAGCATCACTGCTGATGCCAACCACAAGCATTTGGCTTATCACCTCTTCTGCATTGTATGCAATATCCTTGTCAAATACGTCCTCTGTCCAGTTCCTAGGAGCACAGCTGATCTGTATAGGTCACTCTGTATATTTCAAAGCAGACCACTCTAGATGAGGAGCAAATGTCTGTTTTATGTCGAAGTAAGCATTATCAGTCCCTTCTTCCCGCTTCCGGTCAGCTCCGGGCCCTCTGGTCCTCCATATCCCGAAGGCCATATAGATAAAATAACTTTTAATTCATTTACTGATTTATTTTTCTTCAATAGTCATTGAGCAGTTGAGACAAGAATGGGGTGATGGTGATGCTTCATCAGAAACTTCTGCTGCATCATTGTACACGAAGAATGATGACGTCTGTTCCAAGCAAAGTGCTTCGCCCAGCACTGCTGCTCTGCCACGTACAGAGGCTGGAGGCACAATGAACTTTGCGGCTAAGAGTGTCGTGAGTGGTGAGGCCAACAATATATGCGAAGCTCTTCAGAATATCAGCATTGCCCGGTCTACCACACCCGATAGTTTCGTGCGTGAGGCTGAAAAGTGCATCCTGACAAGCCCCAGCTTTCATGGAGCTGTCGGTTCGAAAGATACAGCCGACTTGGAATCACAATATCCATTCGGATACCGACTAATGACCGAGCAAGGATGGTCAGGGCAGAGTGGCCTTGGTGCCGACGGGTCTGGAATCCAACGGCCTCTTGATGCATATACCTTATCTCGCGTTTTCAAAGACCACGAGTCTCCTGTTGGGCTGGGATATGCACTCAATGCAGGCAAGAAAGTGCCTACCAATGGAAATTCTACAGGGGAATCCAAGAAGCAAACGAATGGTTTCGCTGGTGCATCAACAGCCTGGAATCAGTACGTGACAGATCCTCGCACTGGCGACGAGACAGCCAAATCTGGTTATAACTACGAAGCCGCCATTAACGCACCACGAGGGACCAGAGTCGATTACGGAAAAAGAATTCAAACCAAGGGCAAAACCAAGACGATTGTCCAAGATCAATGCGTCATCAACGACAATTGGAAGGACACTTCGAATTACGCGAGTACCCCTCAAGCTCAGAAGAATATGTCGCAAGGGATTTCGGGAAAGACACCAAAGACTCCATCTATAAATCCTGGGGGTTTGTAGCTTGCAACAGCAACTCCGAGGGCTGGTAGCCTTGAGTGGTTGTCTCAGCTCCTCAAGAATCAGTCGAAGGGAAAAGCTCCAATATGATACAGGGAATAAAGTGGTAAAGGGTGCGGGCTCATATAGTGATTAGCAAGCAAGAATGAGGGCTATCCTGCTCAGATATGCATTGGACTGATGAACCATCTGCAGGAGTGACAAGGTACCACCACGTTTGGGCATACTCTAAAGTCTTTCGGCTGGCAGTCGACGTATGCGGTATGGAGCATGATACCTGAGACGTTAGCGCCTCTGGAAAGGAATGGCTGGCAATAGTTTATCTCGATGCCAAATTCTTTCACCAATTATTTTGATCCCTATCTTGCCATCCACCTGAGTGTGTAGTTAGACAAGGATACCGTCGCCAGCAATTGAAAGTGTCTTATTTATGCTATTGTAGGAAGCTACGGGGGTAATGCCTTTATCACCCTCACAATGGGTTCTGTGTCAATTACTTCTATTTCTTCTACAACATCTTTAGCCCACTAGCTCAATAACAATTGCTGAGAGCTTCGCAGCCTTTGAATGCCCCCTCTGCGGTCTACATACAGACTGTTAACTATCCCGTTATCCAGTTAATTCTGCAATAGAGAAACCTCCGCGGTGTTGAAGAAATCCCGTACGGCTCGGGCATTCGGCTCGCTATCCTTCCCCTATAACTCTAAAGTCGGAGACTACACGTATCCCCTTCGTCTCTTGATATATAAGATGAACTAAGGTTAACAAATATTAAAAATTACTTGATCAAAACCGCGGTTAAACAGCCGAATGGTCTAGAGCTACGTGTATCCCGGTTATTCTTTTGTGTTGTGTTCATGCAGTTATTGTTTTTATTGTAGTTTTCGGAACCGGAGATAAAGGTTAGGCACGGTTTTATACTAGCCGTTTGGCATATTGATGAGATATTAAAGACTAATTTGTTCGAATGGTTGGAGTGGGGATTTCTCGCGATCTTGGTTTACCTTCGGCGGTACTCGTGGTAAGGGAAGTTTGGTCAAGTGTGGCAAAGTACGGGGGAAGTGCTTCTAATATTACTTCTTACAGTGGGTTCCGTACTAATTATCTCATACTGTCTCTTGTATCCAGTAGTGTTTTAGCCCCTGCTTCTTTTTTTATCCTGGACTATACCCACTTCCATATCTGTACTCCGTGTACTAAGTTTTAAGGTTCTCAACTTTCTACTTGGCGAGGTACGTACCTGTACCTTTTCTCACACTGGGAAATTGAGTAAGGTCGTGTTTGTAAATTGGGAAATCATTCAAGTGGAGTTATTCGTTACATACCTACGGCGTCCGAGAGGGGTAACTGTTCAAAAACGATTTTTTTGTTGTTAGGTACACCCTAATGTCCGGGTAAGCAAGGGTTTAGGCCATGTTTGTCTGTTTTGGGACAAGTATATAGTGTGAATAAAAACAATAGCCAGGTTTGTGATCGGCCAGGTCTGTGTTCGGCTAGGTCTATATTCGGCCAGGTTTATATTCGGCCAGGTCTATATTTAGCCAGGTCTATATTTAGCTGTTACTACTATAGATAATAATAAATAATAATAAATAATAATAAATAATAATAAATAATAATAAATAATAATAAATAATAATAAATAATAATAAATAATAATAAATAAATAATAATAAATAATAATAAATAAATAATAATATTAAATAAAGCTAAAAAAAAAGTTAGAATATTAAAATAAAATAAGTTATATTTAGTATAAAAAATATTATAATATAGCTAAAACATTATTTATAAAATAGAATATATAAAGCTAAGTTTAGTTAATATAACTAGGGCTTATAAAACTAATAAATATATCTAAAATATACTTTTTTTGTTTAATTATATTAAATAATAATAATAATAATAATAATAAATTTATAATATAAACTTATTTTTTATATAAGTTTATTTTATATTTTTGTTTTATTTTATAATATATAATATAAGTATTAAATAGGCTATGTACGATATTATATATAAAAGCAAATAAATACGTATTAATAGAATATACTGTATTGTACTATATTTAAATCTTGTACCGAAAGAAAAAAAAAAAAAAATGCTTTGTACGAAACAGAATTCCTTTTAAAGAAAAAATTCTGCTAGCATATAAGCTAAAACAATAAAAAAAAATAAAGTTCCTATAGCTAATAGTCTTTGTACGAAAATATCTGTTTATTTGCGTGATGTGTAAGTATACGATATAGTTATAACTAATGCCAGTTATTTTAATACTAGCTATTTTTTTTTTTAGTTATAACTGCTTATTATACAAAAAAAAAAAAAAAATAATTACGTACTATATAACTAACTAGAATATATATATAATATTTTATTTAA